TGAGCCTGAGAAATTCTGCCATCACTGCCCTTTCCTAGCTCACCTGACTGGACTGCTTATAAGGCATTGTTTTTAAGGAAGGGCCTTGGAGCCTCAAACATCACTGTCCTATCCATACCACCAAGACCACTCCTCACCCTTCCTGCCTTACCTCCCCCCACTGCTCTGCCAAGAGTGGGCATCCAGTTAGACTCTCCCTTCCCTGTCCCCTGGCTGTCGCTTAGCCCTCTGCTTCCTGGCCTTCCCTGGGAACACCAACTCTATTTCCTCTGCCTGAGCTCCAAGAACCACTGCCATCCCACTCCAACCAAAAGGATCATTCCCTGCTTTGACTCTACTGGCCCATTGTTATTTTGCTTCTTTGGCCCTGAACCCGGACAGCCGTATGCCATTCATTCATCCTTCAGTGTATGTCTTCTCTCAAGTGAGGGACCTAACTCCCAGCACAGGGCCTTGCATACAGGAGGTGTACTAAAACATTTAATCAGTTTGTTCTTGTAAAAAACAGAGGGAGAAGATAAAGAGAGGAAGGCAAAACAAGATGGCCTGCAGAGAGTATTCAAAAAACCGTTACTCTAGCTAGGGAAAAAATGGAATGGAAACCGTATCTGTAAGAAAGATCAAGAATCTACCTACTCCTTCTTCTTCTCAGTAGGAAGTCAGGTTATCTGGGCTAGGAAGCAGTTCCTCACATTCTGGGAACACACAGGAGTTAGGGGAAGATAAGAGACAGAAGTGGAGATAGGCTGATGTTGTCATGGGGTGCCTGTTTGGCTCTTGCTTGGTGCTAACCCATTCTAAATAGGAATAACAGTAGCACTGAAAATTATTCCACTAGTGATACAAAAGCAGGTGTGCCCCATCCACATTTTCTGCTGCTCCATGAACCCCAGTTCCAGTTTGATCCTTAGAGACTGATTTCCTCTGCCTTTAAGCCCAGCAGGGAAGAGAAACCTGAGCACATCTGTTGGTATTGAATCAAGGGAGAGCAGCCACAAGGGTGATGTGCCAGGCCAATTCTGACCGCAGAGGTTTCAATGGTATCTCTTTGTCACTCGTGTTTATCCTTGGTTTTCATCTTCTTGCTTTACTCTGCTTTGGGCCCTTAATGGGCAAAATATTCCTACTTGGGCAAAAACCATGCCCAGAATTGGCTACGCGGCAAGCAGGCAGGCAGGCAGAGGGTGGCATTCCTGTCTCTTTGTCTTCTGTCCCTCCCTCTCCTTCCTCTTTCTCTTTCTCCTCCCATCCCAAGGATGTCAGTTTCTCTGCTCTCCATCTTCAAATCTCTCTCCCTTCCTTCCTCTGTCCCCGTTGGCTATCTGTCTCCCTCCTTTCCCTGTTTTGGGCTATGTGCACGTGTCGGTCTGTCTTTCCCCTCTCTATGGAAGCATGAATGTGTGCTTCCTGTCTCCCTCCCTGCTCTCCTTCTCTGTCTACCTGGTTCCTCTCTTGTGTGTCTTTTCTCTAGGCTACCTGGACTGGGAGCCAGAAGACTCAGTTTCCAGTCTGGGCACTACATTAACGAGCTGCATGGTCGCAGCCACGTTATTTCACATCTCTAGACCTCAAGTTCTTCCATCACAGTGCAGGTTAGATTAGATGGTCTTTCAGGTCTCTGACAGCTCTGAGGTTTGATCACTGAATGAAACAGAACCTGGCAGACCCCCAAAGCAATCACTATTTTCCAAACAGGAGAATCATGCTGGGGTCCCAACAGCACGAGCACCAGGGGGCGCCCAAGTCCCACTCAGAGGATGGGGCTGCTGAACCAGACCACACTAATGGAGGCCTCCCTTTCTGCTACGCCGCCAGGGTGCTGAGCCTTGTCCTGGTCTCTCATTCAGTCCACTGGGATAGGTACTATGATCATTCCAGAAGCACCAGAGGTGGAATCCCTTGCCCAGTCCTGCAGCCAAGACTTGATAACAGGATTTATGCCCTGGGTTCTGACCACAGAGCCAGTGTTCCTGGGCAGAATCCTGTATTCCAGCCATGGACGCTCGCTCACCAGCTCTCCACTGAGGCTGCTGAGTCAACACCTCTGGACCCCAAATGTGCTCAAGAATCTTGGGCCCAGACCATACAGATCAGTCGATTCTCTCCTCCCTCCAGACCCCAACTCTGACTTCTTGTGCCTCGGCCTACAACTGTTCCATCACTACTCTACCGCCCTGCATACTGATGGCACATTCCGCTTGAACTGTTCTTTATAGTTTCACATGCGGATGTCTTGTTCTAACAAACCAGGCATCTTGCCAGAGTGTCACACAGTGCGGTTCCAGGCCCAGGGCAGAAGACAGAGCTTTCCAAAGAACTGATGAGCGCCAGCAGACTTCCTGAGCCCTGAGGCCATGTCCCTGTATCCTCCACCTTGTCTGTAAATACCTGGGAGCCTCGAGACGCTCCCATCAGCATCCCTGCAGGCAGACTGCAACTACACATGAGCAATTACCACACAGGCCATGGGGGAAGGCTGTCAGTGGTGTCCACCCCACAGATGCAGGAACTGGGGGTCTTCTGATCATAATTCCAGCTCAAGTCAGCAAATATAAAGAGAATCCCAGCTTCATGGCAGATAGAGTCAAGAGTTGGGAGGTGCACAGAGAAGCGGCAGCCATGGTTTCTACTCTTCAGGAGATAGAGAATCAATGAGATGAAACATGCAAAATAAAAATGATAAGTATATAATGTTTCAGTCAGGAGTTGGAGTCAGGAGAGCCAAGTCCAAGTCTTTCACCCTAACTGTTGAGTGCCTCACATCCCGAAGACCTCTGATGCACCAGCTCAGACACCTTCTGGGCACCAATGACTGACTAGGAATAAGCCAAGCACTGGAGACCCACCAGTGGATTCAGCAGCCCTTGCTTCTCCACACTCACCTGTGCTCCTCTGGGCCAGTGTCACTGACACAGGGAGTGGGAGCCTGTGTGTGACAACGGGAGAATGAAGTTATAGACTCACACATCCAGAAGAGAACAATGGAATTACCATCCTAGGGATAAACCCATCACATCTGAACCCATCACATCAACCTCATAACCTTCTACTTGCTTTTCCTCAGTGCCAACAATATGATCGGTATGGTGGAGATGAATTGATAGCATCTCAATTCCAGAAATACTCTCATTTTTTAATTAACATACAATGTGTTATTTGCCCCAGGGGTACAGGTCTGTGATTCATTAGGCTTACACACTTCACAGCACTCACCATAGCATATACCCTCCTCAATGTCCACCACCCAGGAAATACTCTCATTTATAAGAGCATGACATAGAACGGCCCCAGGTGTAGCTTTTACTATTTTTTCTTCCTAGTTTCTGTGTGGATGTCGTGGTGGCCACAGAAAAGTCTGGATGTCACCTCCCTGCTAGGGAGGCCTTTTGCCCACCCCTCTCGCAGCCCCTCTGCCCTCTCTCCAGTGCCCATCCTGGGGCAACAGCCACAGAACCAGTGGAAGGGCAAGGAGCACACCAAGGACACAGTACAACCTGCAGCCGGGTTCCCTCCATGAGTCACTCCATATTCCCTAAAATAGTCACAGGCCCGTGTGTGCCTCCAGAGGCTGGCACCTCACTCCGTCTCAATCACAGATGGACTCCGTGCTCCCCTCTGCCCCGGGATAATGTATTTATCTGGAGAGTTCCAGATGGCACGAGTAGGCAACTGATTCATTTGCTTGTCCATTTCTGGCAGGCCCCACGAGGGTTTGGGAACCGGGGCCAGCACATAAATGCCCTTATGTGCCCTGAGCCTCTCTCCTGAGGCTCAGGTGTTGCCTCTGATGACTCAGTCACTTGCCCCAGCCTGGGGCAGCAGGGGTGCCTGCAACAAAGCTGGGCAGCCCAAGACTTAGAAACGCTCCTGAAGGTCTGTGTACTCCCAGGACTGGTTGCCCAGCAAACCCCTTCCCAGAGGGTGTCACAGCCAGTGACAGGATGCCCTGCTCTCCCTCCCCCCTCCCTCTGTCTCAGGGCACCCAGCACTGGGGCCCCTCCCAACAGCAGCTGCGAAGGGGACCACACTTCAAAGACTTGTCCCGCTGGCTCTTGTGTTCCCTGTGTATTTCAATACACTTTTTGATTACAACTGGCCGAGTCCACAGAGGGTAGAGGAGTGTGAAATGTTACTTTATATGTACAAACTTGAAATTATGCGCTGGCCACAATAAGGTCTGATAGCTTGAGTGCCCCCACCCTTGCCTGTCACAGTGAAATCAGCAGGGAGGTGATGTTAGGTCCCAACTTCAGTCTCTGGCTCCCAACCAGCTCCCCATGCCCCAGAATACCCATACCAGAACAAAGCTCCCAGGGGGTCCCCAAAGAGACAGAGAAAGTACTAGGGGAAAAGAATGGGCTATTTCATTCAAAAGGGTATTCATGGCAAGGCTTTCCTTTCATGGTTAAAACATAACCATTTCTTTATCATTCATGGTAAAGGGAAAAGCTACGACTGGTGTAATAATGCAAAAAGACAGATTAAGCCAGAAATAACCTCTAATCATTAAGAGCCCATGTTTTTAATCTTGTTTGCCAAGTAAGACCTGGCCGAAGAATCCCCTGAAGGTCCTGTACCCCAACCACACCCCAGCTTCAGCAGACCACAAGCATCCTTGATGGAGAAGTGAGCTCATTGTGCGTGGTCCAACTCTGACAGTGCTCAAATACCACCCCCCTGCACCCCTACCCTGGACTCATCTAGAAAGCTCCTGCCCGAGTGAGGGTCAAACTCTCCCACAAGGAAAACCAGCCATGCAACCAGAAGGAAGCGCTTTGTCTCCCCTTCCCTACCCCAGAGAGGTCGCCGGCCCATGGGAGGGGGGCTCCTTAGGCAGGAAGTCCAGAGGGTACCGTGTGGGGTGGGGTGGGGGCCAGCTGGGGCTGAATGGCCCCCTTCCCCCAGGCAGCAGGGGTTCCCAGACCTGATCCCCCCAGGTCAGGGCCTTAGGGTCAGGGCCTCAGGCTATCTGCCTGCCGGGGGTGGGGTGGGGGCATTACCTGCTGCACGTCCTGCTGGAAGACGCAGAGTTGCAGCCGCTGGTGGAGCCGCACCTTGCGGTGCTGCCAGATGCTCTCGAGCCGCCGCTGGTGGTGCAGCACCTCATGCACCACATCCAGCACCTGGTGTACCGCCTTGGAGTAGTTGGCCGTGGCTGTGAGGGACTCAGAGTTCCCGGGGCTCAGGGGCCGCTGCAGCACATCCAGCAGGGCTTTGCCATCCTGGCTGACCTGCAAGAGGGAGAGGTCAAATCGAGGGAAGCTAGGAGCGGGCAGGGGCCCAGGGCGATGGGGAGGGTCAGCTGGCTGGGGGGCTCCCTCGCGGGAACCCAGAATCCCAGGACACTGGAGGCATGCACCAGCTGGAGAGGCCCAGTGCTCAGCCCGCAGCCTGGAGGAGGGCAGAGCACCCGAATACTGGGATAGGGGCTGCTCAGTCAGTGTCTTCCTCCACCCTTGCACTGGGCAGGGTCTCCCTCTGCCTTGATCCTCAGTCCCCAGCACTCAGAACAGAGCCTGGGCCATCGCATGTGGTACATCTTTTGACTGATCTGCTGGGTAGGTCAAGTGGTAGAACTTCAGTTCAGAAATGAAGCAAAATATAAGTTAATGCCATAAACCTCTCTCCCTCTTTCTTCTTCATCTCCTCGACCTAGCTCTGAACATCTTAATGTGTGACTGGAGGCAAGTTACTTAACTTCTCTGGGCCTCAGTTTCCTGAGGGGATAGAAATAGGGAAAAGAGGGATAGAATGGGGACAACCTCACGGAGTTGTGCTGAGGACTGAGCGAGTTGACACAGGGAGTGTTCAGGACAGGGTCAGGAAGGGAGGACTGGCTCCTAATTCTGTTTTCACCATCAGCATCTCTATCGGCACCGTTTCTCTCTCCTGTCTTCCCGACTTCCTCCTCATTTTCTTTTATATTTACCCTTCTTTTGCTCTCCTTCTATACAACTTCTCTGATTTCTGCTGACAGTGGTAATATCCCCTTTCCAGAATATGCAGGGTTAAGACTATAGACCCAATACTCATGCTCATATGCTTCCCAACATCCACCCTCAGTGCTGAGACCTGTGGGGCTGACAGCCCCTGTCATTCTTTATTGGAATCTGGGTACAATAACAGGCACCCGTATTTCTGGAAAGAGGCATCATCTGATCAACACCTGTGGCTCTCCAGTGCTGGCCGAGGACATAGTAGACCATACATCTTTTCAGTTTAAACCAGTGGTGACCAGGGACTGTAAGGCCCTAAATTGATTTGGTTAATGATTAAATCAAAGTTGGTTTGGAGTTGAAACGGTCTTTCCCTTCTAGCAAGGTGGGGAAGTAAGCGTGCTCCTACCTCCTGCCTTATAATGATGAATGAGGAGCTGTTTGCTGTGCTCCAGCCTCCCTCCGCCCCACCCTCACGTCCGATGATAGCTTGCTAAGGGTTCGGCAACACACAGGCATCTGTTACCCCCTGTTCATGGGGCAACAGAAACGGTGTGGGGCTGGGAGGGCAGGTGACTAAGAGGAACACTAGGCCGAGAGTACTATAGTTGAGACAGAAGAGGAAGCCTGGCTGGAAGCATACAGCTGGCTAAATGACCACCTCTACCCACATGCCAGCCTCCAGAAATGCACTGCCAGGGGACGCGAAGAGCAAGGGCTTCATCAGTGATACAAAGGTAACACCCTCCAGAGATGTGAGTAAGACAAACAGCCTGTGGCCAAACCCAGGAGAGCTCTACTCAGGGAACTCCGAGCAGATGGGCTCTTTGGCACCGTGCTATGTCCAGGTCCAGAGTGCTTAGAGATGAAGGCCAAGTCCTAAAATCCAAGTCAACAGAGCTCTAGCTCTCTGCCTCAGTCTGCAAGTGCAGGGACAGGGAGGCAGGGACAGCCCACTGACCTCTGACGTGGGCTTGGAGAGAGTGTCTGTGTCCCCCAGTGCTGGGGCCTGAGAAAACACAGGGAGAAATACCGTGTCACTCTCTGACACAAACGCCGCCCCCGCCAAGTGTAAAACATGTAAGCCTGATATGAATCTCACTTGTACGCTCTATGTTCATATTTTATGAGGAGTAAATTTAGAGATTCTTGACCCACAGTTCTTTTCTAAGAGAAAGCCTTGGGCCATTTGGATCAAAGCTGATGAGATCAGATCTGGCCCACAAGTCTTCCCCATTGCCTCCTCTAATACCAAAACACGATACCATTTTTTTTCAGCACTAATTACTGTCAGGCATGGGGCCACGGACATTACATGGGCACTATCTTTGTAACTCTTCAAACTATAGGCAAGTGTTATCACCCTTATTTCACAGAAGAAAGTGAGGCTTAGAGTGCCTAGGTAACTTGCCTAAAGTCATGCCGATAAGCAGGGGGTTAAAAGTCAAACTTCGCTTTGACTGTGGCAAAAACCTTTACTCTCACCCAGAAGCCCTTGGTTCTTTGACTTCAGCATGCGTGCGTCAGATTTCCCCAGGTAACATTAACTAAAATATAGGTTCCAGGTCCTACTTCTTCCCATTCTGACGCAGTCTGAGGCGGAGCACAGGAACAAGTCTGAGGCAGGTGGTCCCAGAAACCACTTGGAAAAACACAGCTCCAACTCTCCTTGCTGTATAGGCCAGATGTGAATTCACTTTCCCCTCCTCATTCAGTTTCCTTAATTAACCCATCTCTTTATGGCCCTCAGCCTCTCCCCGAGAATTCACGCCAGTTAGTCAACTCACTCACTTGTGTATGTCCACAAAGATGCACCCATATGCCCCCTTCTTTTTCCTTGGAAAGCAAAAGACCCCCCACACCCCGCCTTCTTAACTTGAACCATGCACCCAGCCTTAGATTTTTCAGTGAAATAGTCTTTTAACTTGTCCTTCACTTCCGTGGCAGCTTCTCACTCCTGCAAACACTTCTCTCCACCCTATGGTGAGTTCTCCTCTGTACTTTCTGGTGAGAAAATGGGTATTCGTTGACAAGCCTCTTCATTAAAGGGGTGGCAGGCCTGGCGTGTATACAACCACCCACCAGCCAGAAAGCACCCTGAGGAGCACAGCCTTGCTTCCTCATATTTGTGTCCCAGGGTAGAGAGTCTGATCTTTATGCATAGGGTGAGGGAGGTGTACATGCTCGCACATACACACACAGGCCCGTGTGGGGCAGGTGGAGCCCACTGAAGGCTGCATTGTCTCTGCTTCCTGGCTGGAGATCTCATTATTCATAGCTCAAGGATCTTAAAGATGTCTCCAAGGGGAGAGAGATGATGTCTTTCTTCTTGGTCCTACCCAGGCTATTACACAAGATACAGGTCAATGCTCTTGTCGCTAACCCACATCCACACACCCCACGAGCCCCGCGTGTCCTGCAAGGTCCTCACCTCTGTGTAGGCCTGGGTCACCTGCTCATACAAGGACTGGTGGTGGTGGATGGCCAGCTCCAGGTCCTGCATCTCGGAGGGCAGGCCCCCCTCACTGCACATCTTGCACCAGGCGTCCACTCCCGACAGGAACTGGAAGGACATAGCAGCTGCGTCAGTGCGGGAGTGCTAGGGGCAGGCGATGGACCTTGGGAAGAACCATCAGGACCTCTGGGAGCCTCAGAGGCCAATGCAGAGGGTGGAGTATTTCTCTTTAATTCTACAAACATCAACCCCATGAAAGAAGCCGGACACGGCACCTTTGTAGGAAGTGTGGTTTCCACAAACAAGGATGACTGTTGTGAAACCGCTGGGGTGCGAGCCACCTGTGTGTTCAACAGGCTGTACCCACACACTGACTACAATGTGTGGGGTCAGCTCACTATCTTACACGTACACCTCAGAGCTTCTCGTCCTGTGCACACTCACAGGCACACGGGAGAGGCTGCGTGCCAGGTAAAATGTGATGCTTCTCCACGTGGACAATGGGTTGTGAGGAGGAATAGAGAACAGCTCCTACAAAGCCATCAGGTACCCCAGGGAACTTGCAGAGGCCATTCCCACAGGGGATGGAGATGAATGCTCCCCGAGCTCCCCACTGTTGGGTCAGTATGCTTTGGGCTGCGGGAGGGGAGGGGCAGCTGAGGGGGACAGACGGTGCCATGACAATGGCGGCACTGGTTCCTGGGATGTGATATAGAGATACAGATCTCGACAGAAAGCAAATTATTATTATTTTTTTTTAAAGATTTTATTTATTTATTTATTTATTTGAGAGAGATTATTATTTTTTATTTGATTTTATTTGATTATTATTATTTATTTGAGAGAGAGACAGTGAGAGAGAGCATGAGCGAGGAGAAGGTGAGAGGGAGAAGCAGACTCCCCACGGAGTTGGGAGCCCAATGCGGGACTCGATCCCAGGACTCCGGGATCATGACCTGAGTTGAAGGCAGTCGCTTAACCCACTGAGCCACTCAGGCGCCCAGAAAGCAAATTATTTAAAAATTAAAATTAACAACTGTGGAACACCCTGGGTCTCCATGCACAAAAGGTGAGCTAACTGAAACCACTCAGATTTATTGGGTGGAAAAACACACCTCTAAAATGCAGATAATTCTTCACCCAACAGTCTGGAATGGTTCTGCCTGTGATTCCTCTCGCCTGGGTGCACAGCTCCATTTAAATTAATTGCCTAAATACCTTTCTATCTCGTTGCCCAGAACAGCCCATATGAGGACAATAAAGAGCTGCCTAAATGAACGCATAATAGCCTTGAAAAAATAGCCTCAAATCTGTTGTTTGGTGTGTGTTTGTTTTTTCTCCCCCACCTAAAAGGAAGCATGGTTTATGAGTTTCCCTGGAGGACCGGTACTACCTGAGGAAATTGCATTAAAAAATAGATACAAATAAAATTGCTTCTGATCCAAAGCAGTCTAAGCCAGGCAACATCAGCTAGACACTGACTCCGCCCATCACTCCCGGGTCGGGCATCGAGCTTTCCGCAACCCCTGGAGTTCTAGTCCGGCGTCCGTCAGCTCGCAGGCCCTGGCCTGGTGGCTGTCCTGGGTAGTTTTTCATACTGGATGTTCTTATCCCATTAGGCCAGCCCTTAACAATTCTGGAAGCGTGCTGGGTGCCATCCAGCCTCGGACTGCATATGCTTGCTAACATCTCAGCAGCTTCTTTGCTCCTCCAGTAACCATTTCATGGAGGAACCTGAAAGCAACTTGACGTTCGTCTGTCAACCATGACAGAAGCACCTCTCCAAGGCCCTTTGGATTTCTCTGTAATACTCTAACAGAGTATTCTAAGAATCCTACAGCAGACCACACAAAATGGTCAGCTCAAGGAGAGAAAGGCAGGGATACAGCAAGGGAAGCACTGAGTCTCCCTTGCCAATCTGGACAAACTTTGAACAAAATCTGCAAGTGGTAGGGTTGAAGAGAGAGCTGGAGATTTGACATGAACGCTCTCCTAGGCCTGGGCATGAACCAGTCATGATCAGTCATTACCACCATGATCCTTAAAAAAAAAAAAGAAAAAACGTCTAGATTCCTTTCAATGTGTGGGGCTGCCCCCGACTTATGACACAAGTATTTCAGTCCTTGGGAAGGTCTCAGGATTTCTCCTTCACCTCACACAGGTGAGGGAAATATAAACATACCAGGATAATATGTTGCATAAATACAGTAGTAATGTCTAGCATTTAAACAGCACAATAAGCACCTTACATGTTCCATCTCTAATTCTTATATTAGCGTTGTGCGATTTATGATTATTTTGCATTAGAGATGAGAAAACAAGCCAAAAATGGTGAGGTGACTTGCCTAAAAGTTAATGATTGGAAGCTACATGTGCCTGGCCGCAGAGCTTAGACTCTTTCAATTATCCCTTGCCTCCTACTTGGTTAGGTGGGCCCAACACAGGGAGATATTTAAGGTATTACCTCATCTAGGCCTCTCCACCATCTGTATGCTACCCAAATGTCATACAAAGAAAGGAATTTAGAGGTTAAAACCACAAGCTTTAATGTTAGACACATCTCAGGTGAAATCCCAGCTGTTCATGGATTGTGTGATTTTCACAGTGGTGTGTTAGTAAATGTTTAATCACCAGCATATGTGTGTGTGTGTGTGTGTGTGTGTGTGTGTGTGTATGTAAACACACACAGAACATAAGTAATAATAAAATGTAGTAAAGTAACCAAGAGTGATGAGTTTTGAGTCTCTATTACCTTTGTTTTTAATATATTTACCGTAAATTTATACAATTTAGTTTTAAGTAATGGCTATGTTCAATAACCGGTTCACAAATTTCCAGAACATTTGACATTTGGCTCCCCGTAGGCTGCTTAGAGCCAGCTCCAACACACCACTGGTTCCTGGGCAGGTCATTAATGTGTCTGAGCTGCCATGCTCTTCTCTGTGAAATGGGTGAGTAATGTCACTGATCAATGCAAGTAAGTAAATAGAAATGAATACTTATTATTTTTATCCACTGTGTAATTATTACATTATCACTATCCATAGCAAATGCTTCATGTAAGATTAATTCCCCCCTGCTCTCAGCACTCAGTGATCAGTATCTAGATTCACCCCTTCTGTCTACGCTCTGGGAATGTGGTCAACACACACACACACATGCACACACACAACCATAAACCACCAAACAGAATGTAAACACCTCTAAGTCCCTTCTTGTTGGGATGTTAAGCAAAGCCACCTGGAGTGACCGATGTGTCCTTGTGTACACAGGAGCGAGGAAGGTGGTAGAACACAGGTTACCGCTGCAATGACTCAGCAGGGTCTTGACTGTTTCCGGGAGAGAGGAGGGGCTCTCTACACAGACAGCGCTTGTGTTCCCACCCTTCCAACAAACAGCCCCCACAGCCTCTCCCTTGGCCTCACCTGCTCAGCCTTCTGGTGGAACACTGCAGACATGGCGAGGATGGTGCTGCGTTCATCCAAGGCAGCCGCGAAGCTCTTCCACTCCTGGTCCAGCTGGGTGGAAATCTGCTTGATTTGCTGCGAGGCATAATGACCGGCCTCAGAGAGGCGGGAAGCCACGGACATGATGCGGTTGATGTTGACATAGGCGTTCTGGGAAGCAGAGGAGGGGGAGCACTTAGTGGGGCGAGCTAGAACGACACCCACTGAGCGCTTTCAGGGGTGGGTGAGTATTCGGGGAAGGAGGCTACTCAGAACAGAAAGTCCAGCCATCAGTCAAGATTTAAATGAAGAGAGCAAATGAAGAGAGCATATTGGAAGAATATTCTTCCAATAATAATTATTATTGGGTAGGTATGCTATGTTATGTGCTCTGTATGTACTAGATCCTTTTAAATTTTACATCCTGGGCACCTGGGGTGGCCCAGTTGGTTAAGCATCCAATTCTCGATTTTGGCTCAGGTCATGATCTCATGATCTCAGGGTCCCAGGATCAAGCCCTACAATGGGCTCCACACTCCACGGGGAGTCTGCTTCAGATTCTCTCTCCCTCTCCCTCTGCTCTTCCCTTGCCTCTATCTCTCTTTCTAAAATATATAAATAAATCTTTTAAGAAAAAACAAACAAAAAAGAATATTCTTCCATGCTAAAAATCCACATCTGAAACTAACGATGTACTGTATGTTGGCTAATGGAATTTAAATTAAATTTAAAAACAAACCAAAATGGTGGAACCTTTTCTTATCCTTACTAGACTTTGAGATATTTCCCTAACTAACTCCAACAAGGCATCTGTGGGTTATCCCAAAAAGCATCTGTAAGGCTCTCCTGGCCCTGCTGACTTCTCTCATCATGTGTTTTGTTTACAATCGTTCCCATCTTTGATTGCCAATTAAAAATTCATGACCATGTGTGCTGTTTCCTACCAGGCCAACAGAAAACCCTCCAGGAAGGAACAAGGCAAAAGAAAAACCCCACAAACATAAGACAGTAGCGAGCATGATCATTTTTAACTGCTACCTCCTATTAATTGTCTGAGGTGTCAAAACAATCAAATAATATTGTGGCATCCACAGGGAGATTTTCTGAATCACACAATGTCTGCCTGAAGAAGGACTAGGGTGGCGAGTTGCTTGTGCACCTTTGTTCTTTGTTGCAAATCTTCTCCACTGACAAGAAATATTCTTCAGCAATGGTGTTTTCTCCTGGTTCTATTATGAGCTCAGGAGTAGTTCATTAATATCGGGTAAGTGAAGGTTCTTTATTTTCCTTCCCCTCCTCCTTCATGTTCCCTATTCATCTTAACTGTCCCTGTCCTCAAGCCCTCCATCCCAAACCTGAGCCAAGTTGATAAGGTCTCTGTTCATTTAAAAGGTCTCTGTAGAAGTTTAAAAGTTTAAGTGTAGTGCTCAAACACAAATTCATCCTGATGTCTAATGATCCCCATGTGTAATCTCTTTCTTTAGTCTGGCCTAAGACCTTTCTGATATAGTACATTTCCTTAACAGAACTAGAATATTACTCTTGTTATTTGAAATAACTATCCTTCAAAGATTGAGGAATCATTATCAGCCTTGTTTTCCGAGTTAGGACACAGATTCTACTTAAAATTAAGCTCTATTTATAGAACTGACAGAAAAACCAACTCTGTACTTGGAAAAAAGAGAGAGAGAGAGAGAGAGAGAGAGAGAAAAGTACCGATTTTAATAGTTTTGTCTTCTAAGGGAATGACATTTGGATTCCCCCAAATTTCCTGCTTGTGTACTTGTCTTAGTTTGGGTTGCCTCCAAAGCAGACCTTGAGACAAGAATTTGGGTTGGATGACTTATTTGGAAGTGACTGCAGAAAGCAAGGTGAGGGAGAGGGCAAGTCAAAGAAAAAAAGGAAAGAAAATGAATAAAGGATGTATTTATTAATGGGTTAATTCTACAAGCAATTAGAGTTATCCCTCCTGAAATCTTTTTAAGCAACTGTGTAGAACAAGTTCAGATTGTCTCACTGGGAGGTGAGGTATATCTGGGGAATTTATGCACCAAGTCTGATTGCTCATGGTTGAGGGTTCTTTGGAGTAACTCCATTTCCAGCCTGACCTACACACAGGCCAAGCACATCTCCCAGGTCAGAGAGTGACCATGGGCAGAAAAATACAGGAAGCTATCAGTTTCTATGGGAGCCACCTGCCTTTGACCTTCAGGGCTGGCTGAGGAGATGCAGGTATGACATTGACAGTGTGTCATAGAGCTGTCCTTCCAAACTGGATTCAAATCCTGAAAACCTTCTTCCCCACCCCAATGTATCCAGATTTATCTAGTGTTACTGGGTTTTCCTGTCCTGGGAAAGTCTTTGTGTGCTTTGGCCAGATGGAAAGCAAGGAAAGTAACAAGAGCTGGGCACCAGCTTCTCCCAGGGTCCCTCCTGGACATCTTATGGATGCCCGGCCCATTGTAATCACTGCCTCTTTACATTCGCTCCCCACAGAGAACAGAGGGAGGCACACTTCTGCTCACTTTTAGGAAGAACCTTCTAGCTCTTAGAGATGTCTAACTGTGGCTGCCTCTGGAGGCTGTTAACACTTTGTCACTCATTCAAATATTTATGGAGAGTTGGCCAGGCTCAGTGATGGGAACTGTGGGAGATCAAAGAGGAATGAGGCAGGATTCCTGCCCTCAGGGGCTCACAGCTGAGACAAGAGAAGTCCTCAAATAACTGCAATTTAGAGCAAAATGAAGTAAGTGTTTCTACGGAGGCAGAGGCAGCTCGCTGCGGGGGTTCGGAGGAAAGGGCTCAGAACCACCAGCGGTGATGTTGGGAAGGGGCTTCCTGCACAGAAGGGGGTGGTGAGGCTGGCCCTCCTCCAAGGCCCCCTTAACCCTGAAGCCTGTGATCACAAATGAAAGCGAAAAACAAACAAACAAAAGACCACAGCTTACATTTCACATTCTAGAGACTAGCACAGTAAATGCCTTTTTGTTTCCTTATCAGTGGGCAGAGAAATGTCTTACTAAAACTAACAAATGATTATGCTTCACAAAAGAAGTAGAGGGAGTAGTCCTCACAACAGAGGGATAAATAGAATGTTGACTCATGAATCTGCTCATTCTTCTTCCCTATAGCCCCTTTTCAAAATACCAAAATACTGCAGGCAAGTCATGTGGCCCAGGTTCATCATCATCACCTTCTTCTTCATCTTCCTTCGGCCAAGAATCTGAGACACATGCATAGCTAGATTCTAAACAGCAGCCAAAAACCAAAAGAAAGGAGAGGAATGGTAGAGAAGGTCTCCAATAACTTAAAAGGAAAGAGCAAGGTTAAAGAGCTGGGTTAAGAGAGAATAAACAGGGGTGCTTAGTCATTATGCATAAATGACATGTCATGGCCTTTGGTCAGCCCATCCCTGTGGTTCTTCTCTGTCACTGTTTAGGCATCCATTAAGGAGCATTTGGAGTCATGTTTGTCCTGGAGACGTGGCCAACAGGAATAGATATTTTCATTCTTTACGACCTCTCCATTCCCTACCAGGTGCCTCCTCCACGCCCTCCAATCTGGCCCTGCTATGCTTCCTTGTCAGCCTAAAATCCCTTCCATCTGCAGAGCTGTCCATCAGTCAGGGGCATCAAAGTCACTTGGCCAAGAGCTGGGACACAAGAGTTCTTCTGGTCTAGATCTAACACCCACCTAAGATGTCACCTGCCTCCCCCATGCCTCAGGTTCTTTATCCTTAAAAGGACGGTCTTGGACTAAGTAGTCTTAGACATTCTATTTGAATAAGCAGGATCAGTTTCAGAAGGAATGTAAAAAGAACTTAGGAGGTCACAGTTTTCTTCTTTCTTATTTATTTATTTAAGAGAAAGAGAGGGAGTGGCGGAGGGGCAGAGTGAGGGAGAGAGAATTCTAAGCAGGTTCCATTTCTATCCCAGAACCAGACATGGGGCTCTATCCTACAACTGCGAGATCGCAACTTGACCCTAAACCTAGAGGAGGAGGCCCAACCGACTGAGCCACCCTGCTGCCCCTCTTCTGTCTTATCTTCAGTGCTGAATAAGGGAACACTGACTAAATCTTTTCTCCTCCTCAAGCCCTCTTCTATGGAGAAGGAAAGGCATAAACTGAAGAAATAAGGGTAACTCAAAGATTTCAAGTGTCCATGTGCAACAGAGAAGTTTTAAACCAAAGAGCAACATGATCTGATTTATGCTTTTAAAAGACTGCTCTGGGGGTGCCCAGGTGGATCATTCGGTTAAGTGTCTGCCTTCAGCTCAAGTCATGATCCTGGGGTCCTGGGATCAAGTCCTGCATCGGGCTCCCTGCTCAGTGAGGAATCTGCTTCTCTCTCTGTATTTGTGCTCTCTCTCTCTCTCTCTGTGTCAAATAAATAAAATCTTTAAAAATAAAAAAATAAAAGATTGTTCTGTGCACTCAAGGTTCAGCAAGGAGAGGTCTGCAAAGGGTGAGACAGAGACTAGCACTGCCTACAGCCTTGGCAGTCCACATGTCTCAGCCCTTCTTTCTGGTTCTGCTCTCTGGCCTGTCATGTGTGGGCCACGGCAGCAGCTGGGCTCCCTCCCAAGTTCTTCAGCCTCCAGGGGACCAAGGACCTGATGCTCCCATCCCTGTCTTCTCGTCAGCCCCTTCCCCTTCCCCTTAGCCTAGACTAACCAGTATCTGGTTTAACTGGTCAGAAGTGAGTAATGTTACTAATAATTCTGGCTTCATGAGTAATTTCTTAAACCCTTACCTCAAAACCGCTTAATTAATTTAAATCCTGCATATATATGCAGTGCAATTAATGTTATCAGTATTCACGTTATCGTGTAGTCCAAGATGTAAACAGGATCTACTCAGCGAAATGCAATGCACGTGTAGCACCAAGTAGGGCATGACCCACCCCGTCCTGCCTGCTTCCCTGCCAAGGCCTCTCCTCCCACTGTCACTTTGGTCACAAATGGAAAATATAACTAAATTGCGGCAAAAATCTCACTAACTCAAAAGCCCTCTATGCTTACATCCTGCCTCCTTTTGTTGCCTAAATTCTGCTTTCCTGTTTCATTCTTGCAGTCATTAATTGGATGTCACAGGATGGATGGCCCTTCTCCCAAGGCCTTGCTCCCTGCTGTGAATAACTGAAATCAGTGAAGCAAGTGGTCGCCCTCCTG